AATGCAAGATGATAAAAAAAAAATAAAGATGGCATCTTGAGATGCCCCTTTCAAGATGACTTTTCTGATGTCATCTCCCAGTGGTTTACTTTTTGCGCTGCCTTCGGGGACTGTCCGAGAAACCCCTGTGTGCTTTAAAATTAAGTCTTTTCTCTGTTTATTTATGTTTCTTTCAAAGGCCCGACAAGGCCTGAACCCATGTTCTCTTTTTGGCTTTGTTGTCATGGTGACTGACTGGCCTCTTTTCTTATGTGCACGTCATGGGCGCATATTTGGACTGCTCCGAGAATGGCTTATCGCATCGTCTTTGCGGAGCTTGAAGTCCTCCTTATTATTTCAGGATTAGACCGATGCATATGATGGACTCTGTATTCTTTCTATTTTAATCTGTGGATTTTTCAATTATATGGCCAGTTTTTTTGTCTTTTTGCATCGTGTTTCCTTCAGGTGCACCGCATTAACTTTGGCTGACCGAGGTGACAGGGTTTTTTTTCCTGCTCTTTCATAAAGTGCCACCTGCATCGCGAGAGTCCACCAGTTAACACAGAGGACACATGTTGTCATTTAGAGCGAATGGTCTAATATTTGGACATGGTAGGAGCAGCAATGTGTTGTAAAACAAGATGCACAGCTCACATTATAAATTAAGTTCTGCCAAAGCACTACAGAGATTACATGTGAATCATCTCATGTAAAATTTATTTTAATTCCCAGAGTTTGTTCCCTTTTAATCTCAGTGGAATACTGACACTTTTCACTTCCCACGATGAAAATATTTAATACTTTTTGTCAGAGTGGACCTTTGACTACCACCGACCTTTATTTGATTAATTTCCAATCAGAGATTCATATTTTTACTGGTTTTCTTGCTGATCACATCACGCAAAACCTAATGGATAAATAGTTGTTTTTATAATCTAGGTGCACAATGGACATCAAACTCTATTGACCAATCAAATAGAGCACCCTGTGTCCATTGATTACATTAGTACTTGATTTTATTTCTGTAAAGCCAACTTCCCAGAAGCCTCAGTTTCCATTAGTGAGTACATTTGATCTAAATCTGCAGCTAGGCCACATCCTGTTGTCCTGACCAGCAAACTGTTTGTCTGTGGGTATTACTCTCCATATCCCTCCTGTTGTGGCAGTCCTTGCATCGGTTATCTGTAAGATACCAGTGTGAATTTAAAATTCTACTATTTGTTTATAGAGACTTGGCTGATCTTCTTGAGACCTACAGATTTTTAATGCTCACATGTAGTTCAAACTGAGTCTGTGTCATTATTCTGTCAATGTCCATTATTCATATATTTTGTGATGCAAGGTGAATTATAAATCAAGAAAGGTTATTTTTTTAATTTCTGTAATGCAGATTGATAACCATGACCAGGACCTGCCCTGTGTGTGTGTATGTGAGAGTGTATTGCCTGCAGTTCAACCTACAATGCAAAACATACTGCAAACCACATGTCTGTAAATTATAACATAGTTGGAATGCTGCTTAGTTACTCTTTTACCCACCTGCAACATACAGGTCATGGGTCACACACCTCTCGTGAGTAGCCTATATGGCATAGCTTGGTTTCATACTGTTGCACACGTGTTATCATGTTATCATATATGTTGGGCACGTTTGTGTTGCACTGATTTCCATCTCTTACCAAACGAGCAGTGGCTAAATGATGATTAAGTCGTCTTTGGTTGTCGCTGTCCAATCGATCGGTGCTGAAAAGCAAATGCACCGATGAATCATATTCGAGAACTAGACCAAAAACTGTGTGTGCTGTTGTGAACCCTGATTATTTAATAACATGTTATCCCCTCCTGTTTATTCATCTGGAAGCTGCAAGCGGAGGCGTCTGACACCACCGCTCTGTTCAGCCTGTCTTATTGCTTATCAAACATCACCTATACATACATAATCATTGGTTGTTTATGGCCGCTTGGAAAATTTACTGCTTAGACATTTCGCCCATCCCTATTGTGTGGTGCCATCCATATTTTTGCCTCGATGTTTGACAAGGCCCTCCTTTCTTCTCCCCTTCTCAGACACACTTGACAAACAGGTTTGAATGGCAACTTCTCTGCTTGAGAGTGAGTCACTACATATCTGAGCGTCTCTGTGAGCACATCTCAGGTCCTATAAGTCATTTGGGTGCTGATTGTGATGTGTTAGACAGGATTAAGCCCACAATGTTTCCTTATATAACTTCAATTAACATCTCTCCCTTCCATGCACTGTCTGACTCACTCGCTCTGCCTGCTGCTGGCAGATATCAGATATGCTGTCTTGTTAGATTTGTATGAGCCATGGTGGTAAATGCTTCTCTATCCATTATTTTCTATTGGCCAATAAGTGATCCAACCCATGTTCTCAGAAGAGAACATCAAGGTTGCTATGATAACCTCTCCTGACTCTTCTTCTTTCTCCTGTCTCTCTGGCCACTGCACTCTCCATACTCTTGATTCAGCCTCTGACTCTGGCACCTGTCAGCCACAAACAATTACAGCCATTAAGAGATTACCTGTGTTGGGCTCCAGTAGCTGCTGGGAGGAGCCAGTGGAGGAAGGCTGGTGACGGATCTGAGGAGGGAGGTCACATCCCAGCACTGCGTCACCTTGAGGGGCTTTTGAGGAGATAATAAGTGTTTAGGGGGAGGATTTAGATGAGCGGCGGAACACTCCAGCTTTGTTACAAATAAGAAAACTATCAGGGCAGTTTGTAAAAAGGTCTCTGACGCCATGTAGATCCCAAAGAACAGCAAAAGCCAACTGATTTGGTGCTACATGTTTTTTCATACCACCTACATCTTCGGTTTCAGTTTATACTCTTATTACGAGACCTGACCGTCGACACACAAACACGTTATGTGGCTAAATGTGAAGTCAATAAAGTGCATTTGTGATTTGAAAAATGTGATCATTACTCTACATATATATTTAATTTCAACTGACTAATCATTTAAATCGGCTCCAGTTTCTTCATATGTTTTTAATGCACATCTGCCGATAGCTGCTTTGCCATGGTGATGTTAGCTTGTGGTCTTTCGCACAGCTTGCTTCCACTCATTTCCTTTGTTGTTATGTCGAATGCATTATAATGACTCTCTGGAGGATTTGAACAGCAACATGGGAACTCATAAATGTGTGTGAAAAACAAGCATCTGTTCTCAAAGGTAGTGTTGAAGGGATTTCTGTTAATATATTGATTAGAAATGTGAGCTGCCTGGTACATCTGAATAAATCTGGCTTCACCAAGTCTGTTAATTATCTTGATTTTTAACGGCATTTATTTCAGGCCTATCGTTGTTGTTATTGCCAAATTCTGAATTGGGGGATCACAAGCAGCATAGTAGCCACATTACTTTCACATGAAGATGGCGTCCAACTAATAGTGAGGGTGACCTTTTAATGAGAGCAGCAGTCTGCTGCACTTTTTACGTAACGTTGGCTTTTCAAAAACGTGAACAGGTGAACCCTGTCTATTAAAAAAAAAAAAATCCATGTGCACCTGAAGAACCCCCTGTCAGACATAACCAGATCACATAACATCTCACACACACACAGACCATCAGATAAGCCCGGTGAGGCGCTCTTCATCTCTGACCATGTACGGCGTTGTAAACGGCCCAAATTTGGACAAGGATTCCAGCCAGATAGTCGTGTGCCCCGAACGTGAGGCCGCTGTGTAATCATGTGTATCTGTTTCCCTTGTCAACGCTTTTGTTGTCATAGCAACCCAAAAAGAGAGAGAGAGAGCGAGGCAGTCGAGGCACGGTGTGCAGAGATGTGGGCAATTGGTTGGAGTCAAGTCTGGTTTAATAATTGGTCACTGGAAGTTGTCGTGGTCATCTCTATCAGTCACTGTAATGACTGTCCTTCAGTGGATGTGTGATCTCACAGATTGTGTTTAAGATGCTAAATGGGCTGTTTTCCACTTGTGAACTTATACTTAGCCAGACATGCATCCTATGTGAAATTTGAGAAATCCAACAAATATACTAAAATGGATTTATTGTTCAGATTTTTTTTAACAGAAAGAAAATACTACCAAATCATAATGAGCAACATTTTACTGCTTAAATGCTTTGTTACCGTTCTGCAGCACTATTAAACACCCACCCAAATTCTGCTTCATACTTCCCTAAAAGCAAAATCACAACCTCTACCGCTTCATGAGTTAGAGTATCCTAAATCAGATCTCTCCCACTTGAGGTTTCTGTTTATTTTTGTGTGTGTGTGTCACTTTTTTATTGTCACTGCCTCATCACTCCTACACACTTTGGTTTTAGAATTGTAAGAACATTTAAAGAAACACGATTACAGTGCATTTTCCTAACATGCAGGTATGTTTCCTCCCACACTCAATATCATCCCTGTAGCCCCATGTCCATAACCAACAGACTGACTTTAGATCTGTAGCATGACACCCACTCTAGCAAAGTCCTTCGTCAGTAGCATTGATTCAATAGGACAAACTCTGGGTGCTAAGTGAGCTGGCACGAAAAACAGTTTCACTCTCTTGTTCGACCACAGACGTGATTTTAATCGGGTGATTCGTTAGTGTAAAGAGTGACTGTACCGAGTGTGTGTGCATTTGTGGTTTGATTCATCACACTAGAGAAAATATTTGGCTGATGTACAAAACTGACTTTTCAAGTAAAAGCAGTGTGTGTAACTGGGTATAACTTGTCTTGCTTTTTTCATAGAGCGACATATATGCACTCGATGCCTCCATCAGCAGTACTACACTATGTGGTATTTCAGGCACTCCTGCTATGTGCGCCGGCTGCCAAAATTCCCCAGTAATTCTGGTCGCATGTGGCAATGTAGTATCAGATGCGGTGCAATTCTCTTCCTGTGCTATTTGTAACCATGGCATAGCCCATCGCACTCTCATATGTGCTTTGACACAAATATGCACATAGGGTGGGTCATGCTTTTTGCTTTTTTGCTTCTTTACAGTGGTCTTACTCCTCTTCCCTCTCCCTGTCTCTCAGGCATGCATAGATGACAACGTAGACATGGTGACATTCCTGGTGGAGCATGGAGCCAGCATCAACCAGCCCGACAACGAGGGCTGGATCCCCCTCCACGCTGCAGCGTCCTGCGGATACCTAGACATAGCAGAGTAAGTAGAGTAAGAAGACGATTTCTGCAACCTTACATCCTGTTCAGTATCTACGATGTGTTTAACCGCAGCACTCCTCAATAAACCTTTGTATCTGCGACCATTGGAAGTTCTCTTGCCTTCCTTTAGTTGGCTGCATTTGTGATTTATTTTTCATTTTTATTGTAATGAGATAACATTACTCTGATCACCCTTGTAATAAATATGACTCATACAGATATATCAGATGATATATATTTAAAAAAAAGTTGGCAATGATTCCTTAGATGTCGTTATCAAACCCCCATGACACAGAAATGTAGTTGAGGCTTAATATTTGACTTTTAAACAAACATTGTCAGTTATCAAGGCAGATACTGCTTTGTCTGTGAATGACTCTTAACCATTTAGGATCTACCAGAAATACCCATGCTGTTCTTGGCGAGCTTGCCAGACTTAAGAGAAATCATTTTAATCATCAGTAGCACACAGTTCTCATCGCATTTGCGCACGAGCGGCAGCCCATCTGATAGCTCAGACACACATTGTTGGTGATGTAATCAAATATGGAGAGATCAGGGTCAGCCACTGTATCTGGAATCGAGCTCTACAGTTGCACTCTAGTATTTTCTTGCCCTTAGTCCTTTTCAGGTAAGGAGGCTGTTCATAGGGCACAGAACACAACGCAGAGATGTTATCAGAGGATATATAAACAGGCCTGAAGGGGGTGAAGGAGTTCGGTTGTGCTCATTGTTCAGCATATTGGGAGTGTGCTGTGACCTGCTTTACCTCTGTGTTGCGTTACAGGAACCTGGGTGCAGATCTCTCCCCTCTATTGGTGTTTGCCTAAAATGTTACAAGTGTAACTGGCTGGAGAAAGATAAACATGCTCATGTTCAGAATTTTCTCCCAGATACATTTCTTCTGGTAGTTAAATTGTAATTTGATAGCTAGTATTGAACTAGAATGACACTTACTAGAACGCTAACCTCTGCCAAGGCCCAACAGGCCCTTACATTCAAGCTGAACCAAATTGCACACTATCATCATCATTTCCTTAATTATGCCTGATTGATTTCATGAAGACCTGTGAATTAGTCCCTGGGAAGTCTGTAATCTGAAACCGCTCCAATAATTATCTGATCCTTCCCCTGACCCATATCTCATTGTTCTACCAAGTTTTGTTGAAATACATTTGTTTTCGCGTAATCCTGCTAACTATCAAACAAACAGATAAAAACATAACCTCCTTGGCAGAGGTAAGAGATTAAACATCAGCTACTTCATTTAAACACGTCTTTCAGAAGTGTTAACTTTTCAGATTCCACCGGTCTGCGTTCAGTCGGCCTCATGAACACAGCATCAGCGCTGGGCTAGTATTACAGAAGACAAGAAGTTTGTTGTTGTCACACAGAGAATGAAAAGGTCAAGTGGCTGGTCTGGTATGAGTGACTAATGGAGACACCATGTCACAGAGAAACCCAGCAACCTGATGTGGGTGGTGAGCCCTCGGCCGTCCCATTTTAGTCCCAGCATCCTCATTCACACAGTAATGGGAACAGTGAGACGGGACTGTATCTGTGTGCCCCCCGGTGTCACCACAGCCAGCGAATAGTAGGGTTTGGTTAGAAAGCCCACAGTGGGATTCCAGACCACAAAGTCATCTAACCCAGTAAAGCAGACCCGTAATGGGCAAAATAGAAAGTCCAATCAAGAATCTGAAACACATCTGCAGCCCGTCACTTGCCATTTGGAAGGGAAGTCATGGAACCGAGCACGTTTCAAGTGGTGTGTCGGCTTAATGAGAAGGATGTGAGTCTCACCACAGCTTTAATTAGAAGTAGCTGGAGTAAAGATGGTGTATGGTTAAAAAGGTCTTGAATCAATGCTTTAAAGTGTTCAATCACTGAGGAGCCGTGGATACAGTCTGCAGCGATGCTCATTTTGGTTGTTTATAGAGGTTTTTATGGTTTAACTAATGATCTTTCATTCTTTCAGATGACACGCCTGTAAAGGGCCATGCAGACAAATCTTCAGAAATGCGATCTCTTTTTAAAATTGAATCAACTATTAAAAGATAAAGCTCTAATGTGTTTAAATTCCTAGATATCTTACCCTTTTAAGAATCTCTAAAAACAGATTCTACATGTCAATATGCAGAATCTGTCGACGAAGAACAAAATTCATAGAAACTTAAACAGCAATGTACAAGGCGACAGCAATTATTAAAACATTTTGTCATTGTAATTAATGTAATCAACATAATCTGTAAATAATAGTTATTTGGCCTGAAGACATTCCTAAAAGGTAACTGGTTAAACAGGAGCTGCAGAATGTGTCATTGTGTCAATATTGGCAGTGGATCAAGAGCAACGTTGTCAAGCTCCTGTTCGTCAACTGTTTCCTCATCAGATAAAGGAAGTGACACATTGCATGTTTCCCCTTTTAACTATGTCAAAAACATGTAGCCTAAAACCTTCAGGACAATTGTAACGCTTTGATTTCTGCCTTTCTCTAGTTTAAATGGTTTTTTTGTTGTTGTTATTTATTGCAGGTATCTGATTAGCCAGGGTGCCAATGTAGGAGTTGTGAATAGTGAGGGCGAGACACCTCTGGACATCGCTGAAGAGGAGGCGATGGAGGAGCTCCTGCAGAATGAGATCAACCGACAAGGTGCAGTACCGACACAGACATTTTGACCTCTGAACTCCAGTCTACACTATATCACCCTGAAATGCAGCATAATAGTCCTTACTCACAGCAGCCATTCTGAAATGAAGTCACTGGTTAACTTATGGTTCTTATCTATTTAGGTACAGAGCTTTGATTCATGTGTTAACCTATTATTTCATGTCAAAATGGCTGCTGTGAAAAAGTTCTTTAGTCTCAGGTGAATTGCTAACACAGAAAATCTAGTCAGGGTGAACAGATTGAAATAATATGAAAGACGCAAGGTTTTTGGTTGATGCCAGTATTTGTAAGCTTCAGTTGAATATTTGTACAAGTGTTTTTATGTAATCCCTGTTAATCTCATCATATCCAGAAACATCCTGACCTCATAAGCATGTTACAAACAGCAAGGTTGGTCGGAGCCCTCTGTGTGTTTCATGCATGTATGAGTAGGTTGTCAAATAGGATCCGAATTCTCATTGAGTGTCATTCACCTGCTGTTTTCCACTTGCGCGCTTGAAGAACGTGCGTTACATAACATAGAGAAAGGATCCAGCTGTGTTGTGAGCACTCGTGATGATTCCTAAACTGAAAAGTCGGGCCTTTCTATTTTTGGCCAGGGCATTCTTTAGATGATGAAGGGCCCTCCCCCTCTGGTGAGAGGCCAGGCACAGACCTGTTTAATGGCCCCGGGCCAGAGAGATGCTCCTCGGCTCATGTTCACCAAGAAAGAGTTTGCTGGCCTGCGCATCACTGTGGCACATATCACCATTTCCTTAATTCAGAAATCATACATAGCTTCGGTCATTGACATATTTTGACCTTGTCCACAGGGTCAGAAAATGCTGCGTCACCATCTAATAAGTAATGTCTTTAACTGCATTGTATCCTGAGCAACCTTTAGAAAATATCTTGTTTGTAAACCTTCACGTCTCTTCGACAGTCCCAGTAAACTCCAGGTCTTTGAAAGCACATGAAATCTAGTGATAATTACACCCAGTGAGCTGTTTACATGTTATGCTCCTTGTCAGTGTTATATAACAGCGGAGAGACTTGTTTTGTGCCCACACCGAATTTCAAGCATCTCCTCCAGCGGCACCTGTCAGCTTTGATTTGCTGATGTGTGATGGATGGATGCGTTGCCTGGTTCAGAGCATCCAACCGCTGCCTCAACTTAGATCCATCACTGCCAGATGCAAATCGAAACGTGTATCGTCATTTAACATGCTCATAGACTTCACAAAGCCATACTGCTGAGTTTGTAGGTATTTTGTTTTCAAGTGTGAGACTCACTGCTTTTGGAGACTGAATTTGGCCCGAGGACGGCTGCAGACAATCCACAGCTCAGTTCTATATGCTGGAGTTAGCAGGAGGCAGCATTATGCAACAAGCTGTTGTGTAACGCTCCTGTATGTTTGTAATGTGATTTTCTCCCCTCAAAGAGACACCAGTCATGGGGTTAAACCTGTTACCAAGTGGCCGTGGTTTGCCCTTGGCAGAAACAACCTCTAGATCTGCTCCTTGACCCTGATTGGGTCAAGTGACTGGCCGGCCCTGCCGCCCTCCTCTCCTTCTCCTTCAGCTGCTGCATGAATGCTCCGCTCTGTGCTTGTAATTGACTGAAGGTGGACAAATGTTTCTAACTCGCACATTGTCCCTGTTAGCTTGGGATGGGGGTTATCTGGATTGGATTTATTTTACTAATGTTTATATTTGATTTATTTTCATCTATTTTAAGGCCCTTTTCTGCATTTACTTTATTTTCTGCAGAAGACCCAGTGCTTTGGTCGGCTTCATTTCCATAGATATTTAATTCATCCTTTGCCAGACACACTGTGGGTATATTGTCTGTAGGGTGAAGCAGAAGGCAGGTCCTTGTTTGGTCTATTGGATTTTCTCTTGATCTTAATGCTCAGGCAGAAGATGTGCTGTTCTCCTGTAAAAAGTCAACTTTGACCCACTGCCAACTCTTCCACTCGGCTCTTGTTCTGTAGTCCTACTTAAAGGCCATTAGGCTCCCTGCTTTTTATAGACACACTGTAGGCTACGTCCCAAGAGATCACGGGACGTTGCCCTATGTGGCCAGCTCCCATTACCTATATTAACTGCACTGCCCTAATGACGTTTACAACGTTTTTCTACCACAGTGATGCAGTTTTTCTAACTTGTGACATAGAAACGTAATTGAAGCTTGATATTTTACAGTTTAACCTCAAACTTTATTTAAAAAAATAGGACACAAATGCAATTCTATATATAGAAATTGAATGAATTAATATAATAATAATAATGATAATAATATATTTTAGATAAAATAGAAATACACATCTTTTCTGCATAGTTGATTCTGTAAAGCATAGATTTAACTAGTTCCTGCTTTGGTGACCAGGCAGCCACAGTGAGACGTACGTCCAGTCACTGCTCAAGAGTCACTGAGAAAAGTAACTTGAAATCCAGTCAAACATAAACTCAGACACTGAGTCATCTTATTCCCATTTGGTTTCACTTTCTTAGACTCAAGCTCACAAATCCTCTTAATGAGCAACATGCCTGGTCTCAAACAAGCCAGAATACTATTGTGTCCTGGCTCAGTGGAAGCCTGTGTTGCACGTGTTAGAAAGTAGATGGATTTTGTGTTTTTTTTACGATGACATTTAAGGCTCATGAGCCAATGAGACAAAACCAAATGATCAGGTGTCTCAGTAACACTCTTTACTAACAGATTTAATCCTTGTGCTCAACTTGTTACTTAAGTTGGAATTCTCCTTTGCCTGCGCTTTTTCTCGAGCCAGCCTCACTGACGCAGATATCCTCTTTCATTAGTTAAAAAACTCGGATGGGAATCTCTCTCATCAAACTTTTTAAGGTGTCAGGAGAATTATGATGTATTCTCAAGAGTAGAACAAAAAAAAAAAACCATAAGGTCAGCTGAAGTTTTGGCTTCTACCCCGGTGCAACTCTCTTCACTGTTTATGTAGCTCTACACAGTTAACGCTCAGCTGACCGGTCGACTCGTGCACCAGTGCACTTCAGACCGTCTCGTGTACCAACCAGGTGTCAGCGAGAAGGCTCAGGCATGACTTCACCGCTGCCTTGCATGCTTTATATAGCTCAGACATATTGACCCACTAAACAGGCTCAGGCCTGTACATTTGCAGCCATTATTTCATTGTCAAATATTAGTCTAAAACCGTATGCCAGAGAAGATCAAGAGCTTTACAACAGCCGCTAGTGTTTAGAGATGTCGGCAGAATAATGTCACATCTACTTCTCCTCTGTCCATCCAATAAATAGCATCAAGGCCCAGCTTAATAAAACCACAGAGGTGAATGAGTTGCGTCTTATGTAATAACCAGAACCCAGAGGCTCGTCATAGCTGTCATTACTGACGCATTACCGTAGCAGGACTTAAATGTGTGATGATTTATCTCATGACTATGTGTTGAAGTATTTTCACCTCTCTATTGCGGTCCATAGTCTCTGACTAATGCCATGTATTCCAAACATTCACATGCCTCACTGTGGACGTTAGACAAATAAATATCTTGCTGTTATTGTTGTTGTTCGTCTACTGTCGGCTCGGCATTACAGCCAGGATGCTTGGATGTCATTTTTAACTCTCTTCCTCTGGTCCCATTAGGGTTGGATATTGAGGCAGCCCGGAAAGAGGAGGAGCGGATCATGCTAAAGGACGCCCGGCAGTGGCTCAACAGTGGCCAAATTCAGGACATCCGGCACGCCAAGTCTGGAGGAACGGCACTTCATGTAGCTGCTGCGAAGGGATACGTCGAGGTTTTAAAGTAAGCAGTGGTTCTGATTTCACAGGTAGCAAACATGAGTGTTTTCTTACCCCCCCCCCCACCTGTTGAAGCAAAACTGCACGGATGACACATTTATAGGTTGTTACATAAAGCCCGGCCTGTAAGTCACATTATACAAATACTGTTTATAGTCAGTACAGCTGTGAGGCCTAGCGTTAGGAATTTCTTCGCTATCCTGGTCTCTGCATCTCCTCAGTCCAACATTGGCTCGTTAGTACAGTTTCACTGCTTGAGGATGGAAGCTGCAGCCACCTGTCCATCTGGTCTGGGAAGTCAGCCAGCACACTCTTCTGCCATAGATAACTCTGAGATATGAAGATGTGTAGTGGCTACCACACACAAGACAGGGATCTTAAGGTTTTCCCCATCAAAGGGTTTAACGATTGCCAACCTCACTGAGTTATGTTTAGAGTTAGAAGGGTTTTTGCTGGGTTTTTAAAAAATAGTCACTAAGCAGAGCACTTGAATTGTAAGTATTTATGGGAATCTGACATTCCCCTATATCTCTACCGTACTTGACATATGTCTTAAATTTCATTCATTATTCTAAATTTTAACTTGTTGAAACCTGCAAAAAACCCTGGGTAGCCTGTATCTGATAATCTATAAATGTGACCCGAGGTAACGATACTGACGCACATCTAAAATCCTGCACCCTGGCAGCACCTTGAAAGATGAGCGAAGAGAATTTGCTAAATCTAACAAAAACTATTTTTGTTTTGCCTTCCCTCTCCCTCCTTCACTGTGGAGGCTTTTAATCCAAACAGGGTATGATGTAAATATTAAGGACTATGACGGCTGGACTCCTCTACATGCAGCTGCACACTGGGGCAAAGAGGAGGCTTGTAGGATACTGGTGGAGAATCTATGTGACATGGACCTCATTAATAAAATGGTGAGAAATTTGAATCAAACTCTCATGAGAACTCTCACAATAAAGGCTGAGCGAAACATGTTTTAGAAAAGTTTTATTTCTTTCCCTCAGGGCCAGACACCTTTTGATGTAGCCGACGAAGATGTTCTGGGATATTTAGAAGAACTACAAAAGAAACAAAATCAAGTGAGTCAGTGTGGCCGGTCAGTTTGTACAGATTCTTATCAACCCAAAGATACTTATCAGCAGTTTAATAAGTGGAAGCATTTTACTGACCTCTGTAAAATTATCGTGAAAGCCTGAGAAAACAGATTGTGTCCGTTGTTTTCTCACTGATTTTTGTTTTCTTTGTTCCAGCTGATGAGCGAGAAGAAAGATGTTAAGATCAAATCTCCTTTGATTGAAATGACAACCACTGGGGATAACAACCAATCACTGAAACCACTCAAGAGGTAAAGAGCTTGATGGGGAAAAAGTAATCAATGTGTTCAACTAAAGGATTATTAACCGTGGTCACAGGTTCCTGAGGGGCAACAGGCAAAACAGTTTTTTTTCATGGGTACAGGCGTGGGTACATCACCGATGCTGAACTTATTTTCTAAACTTGGTTTAAAATCTTTGTGTTGCAGCAGAGAAACGCTGCTTCTGGAGCCAGAAAAGAGCGCCCCACGCATCGAGACCTTAGAACCGGAGAAGGTGGATGAAGAGGTGGAGGGGAAGAAGGACGAATCAAGCTGCTCCAGTGAGGAAGAGGAGGAGGAAGATTCCGAGTCGGAGACAGAAGCAGGTATTGTGTGTGTCTTATTTTAGACTTGCTGCGTGGTTTCACCAAATCAGGTCCAAACTATTTGCTAGTTGTCAGTCATAGAATTTGGCTCATGTCAAAAATGAGCAAACTGTGCATTTCTAGCAGTTAAACATCAATACACACAATCTTAATTTTCTAGAATTCTTTTATTGATCCTCCCGCCCTTTTTCTCTCTGACTCTTGAAGACAAGAGCAAGCCTTCAGCATCGGTGAGCAACAGCACAACGCCAATCCCAGCCAGCATCACCGTGTCATCTCCGACAAGCCCGACCAACCAGGTGACAACCCCCACTTCACCGGTGAAGAAGGTACGACCTGGTGGTGTTTGTCACGCTACCCTTCACAGATGCACAGCTGCCTCAGTACTGGCATTACTACAAAAACAGCCCAACCCAGATTTAAATCAAATTAGCCAACACTTGGATGGTTTTAAAAGGACTTGGAGGTAAATAAGTGCTGATGTAATCATGTCACTGCTCTAAGTAGGGACTGCACCTCCTCTGTTACATGAAGCCTCCACTACTGAGGAGGGTCGGGGCCTCGTTACGTACGTAAATCAACAAAATTCACAGTCTATTTGAGTTTTCTCCCCTTTGAACACAAACCTAATTTCACAGCCGGGTGAAGATCCTGGAGGGGCTGCATAGAAAAGTTTGCAGTTCATACTCCAGGCCATCGAACAATCATTTTTAGGTAGTAATTTGTTCTTCGTGTTGCGGTACAGTGAGCACACAGATAATAAGTGAATGTCACAGAGAGAAGTTGTCGCTGGTGTTTGACAAACATGCTAACACGTTGGGGATTAGTGACCAGTTCTTGATGTTAACAGTATAAGACTGTTAGGGCACCAGGAGGCTTCAGTGTTCTGTACAGAGTCATACATTGGTTGATAGGAACAAAGGTAGATTTCTCCTCTTTTGAGTCTGCTTCCCTCTGCTGGAGAAATCCAGCAAAGCATATAAACTGAGTGACACTGGTAAATTTCAATAAGGCTACTTCCCTCACTTTCTGGTGTTTTGCACGGCTGCAGAAAATGTAGGATAATTTGAAAACTCATAATATGAATTCATTAATAATTTAAAGTGTTGTTTGAAAACAACCTCCTTGTAAATGTCTTGGCTTCTGAAGGAGTGAATAACATGAAATAAAAAAAACATTTCATAGTTTAAAAAATTGGCTTTGATTTTAAATCATTGCCTTTTTCCCCAAAAGCTCAAACAAAGCCGTCAAACTCGATGAACCTAGTAGATAAGACGCACAGATCTCATCTGGTTCTAAAGGGAGAAGCGTGTCGCACCCGCTCTGAAAGCTGTATAAACGCACATGTTGCATCCGGTCTAAATTTGTTAAATAGGAGAGTCTATTTCACAGTCTTCTATCTTTTTCTGAGCTCACACTCTGTCGTCGGTATCTCAAGACTTTATATCCGTTTCTTTTTTCTGCTTCTTTTCTGGAAATGACCTTTTTGTTTCCAGTCCTTCTCTGAAGTCTAGTGCTCACACATCACAATGTCTTCTGTCTAACAAGAATGAGCGAAACATTAACAATGTCCAGTTTTGACACTACCAGATGTTTGTTCGATCTGACCCTGACTCAAAACAGTAATGGTAGTCCCCCCCCCCCCTGGTTTGGCAGTAAGCATTGTGCAGTGTGACTAGGCCTTAAAAAAAAAAATCTTTCCTTGCCATAAAGTGTGTTTTCTTTTGCTTCTGTCTTATTCTGGCTTTTTTCTTTGTCTCATCCTGTCATCCTCCCTGCCCTCCCTCCCTCTCTCTGCATCTCTTCTCATGCCGGGCTCTTGTTGGTTGGCTTTAGTCTGATTATATTACTCCCCTCATGCCTGTGGCGGAGCCAGGCTGTCCTGCATTGTGGCGTCAAGGCTTGCGCAAAACTGGCATTTCTCTAGTGCCCAAAAAACCTATGGTGAGGCATTGGTGTGCACCAGAGTTGTTCTCTCATCCTACACGCACCTGTGCACTGACAACGTACTTACCACCCTCCTAACCGCCCCTCGGCCTGATCCAGTTTATGAACAAGCGAATCTCGCTATCGCCGACGTCTCACTCATCATCCCAACATTGTGTTTTCACTTGTAACGCACCGTCCTAATCGTGCTTTCACATTGTGTCTGTGGCTCTGTGTTTAATAAAGTGGTTTGTCATTGTCTGATGCGTATTTAAAATGAAATTTGTGGACAGACCTTATGTGAAAACTATAAATTGGAACAAGAAGCCTTTACCATCCTTTGTTTAAGATTCAGTTATCGTCTTTTGAGGATAGCATGTGCTCAGGAGTACTTGTATAGTGCAGCTGTGGGTTTAGTCAGGTGTATTTTTTAATCTGGATGTGATTGTTCATAACTGGCATGTCCTTCCCTTAAAAATGTCTCCTCATTAAAACCTAAAAATTGCAGCCTTTTTAAAATCCAAACAGGGTTTTTACTACTGTTTTGACCTAATCAGCTTTTGTGTTAATCACTAAAAATAAAAATTTTAACACCTTCGTAATTGTAAATGGATACGTCAATTTACTCAACCACTGCCCCGTTCTCCCTTTCAGGTCACTCAGCCTGCTGGAAAGATCTCAGCTAAAGTGGAAGAGGAGAGGAAGGACGAGTCTCCGGCTTCTTGGCGTTTGGGCTTGAGGAAGACCGGCAGTTACGGGGCACTAGCGGAGATCACGGCCACCAAGGAGGCTCAGAGGGAGAAGGACACAACCGGGGTGATGCGCTCGGCCTCGAGCCCTCGTCTCACCTCATCTCTGGACAACAAGGACAAAGAGAAGGTCAACAGTCGCTCACACAACCACAAATCAGAGGGTGTTGGGTATCAAGGACGTATTACACAAAAACATTGTGCTCATTTAAAGTTGAAATTCAGGCACTATCCTTTTAATCTCCTTTTACTGAGTACTTAGCCACAACATGTTTGTGAAAAGAAAGAATGATGTGATTTTTTTTTTTTTAATGAAATGCTGAGCTTTTCTCAGAGCTCATAAAACTGAAATGGCAGCTGAGATTGTTTTCAGTATCATATGAAGTAAATCAATTCTTTTGGTGAGATCTCCTCTGTAAACAGTCACACAAACACAGGTCCTGTCTCATCCTGTGCCCACAGGAAAAGGACAAAGTAACACGGCTTGCCTACGTGGCCCCGACCATCCCCAGGAGACTGGCCAGTACTTCAGACATCGACGAGAAGGAAAACAGGTGAGACCCTGGGGCCAAGTGGATCTGTGATGACATGCATTTAGCATGAGCGGCTCCTGCTGCCCACTGCTGTGTATTGCAGGGAAAAGGCCAAAATGCTCTGCATGGTGTGTGCAGCCTGAGGCAACTGCTTCTAGTTATGTTGAACAATTCATTAGAAGAGATAGAGACGTTATAAATGGGTCTAAAGGGGAAAGAGAAGACGCACATATCCAGTATATTTATCCGTATCTGTTTGTGGAACCCTGGGGTACTATTGTAGCTTATTCCCCAGGGACTCGACTGCCCTGATTCGTAGCGGCTCCTACACCCGACGACGCTGGGATGACGACCTAAAGAACAGCGAAGGGAGCGCCTCCACCAACCGATCCTCCAGCTACCAGCGCAGGTTAGCCTCCGCTGCCAAACTTCCATCCGTTATCTCGTCATCAGATCTCTGCCTCATCTGATCTGATGTGTCGTTCCACTAAAACCGCTGAGTAGAAAAAAGTGATAGTCATGTATTAATCATCTACAGTACATTTTTATTTCTTGCATTATGTCATTAGAGGTCTGTTTGTACTTGCCACATGCACAGCAGCCGCAGCAGCTACTGAAGAAGCCGTGCAAATCAGCCCAGCACCTTGTTTCTGTCACTGCCACCACGTTTGTTGCATGACTGTACCTGTCCTGTCAGGTTGCTGTGTCATAGAGTTTAAAGGCATTTTTTAGGCATTTTAACAATCTGACTCCAAGGTACATCAAAATTCCCTGTAGTGTTCATGGCACAACACCTAGACGTGGACTAATGCTGCATTCATGTCATGTTGAAAAATCATGGATATGAGCCACGTAATTAAATTAAGAGTTTAAAAGCTATTTCTCCAAGTTCCTGGACTCTGATGTTATCAGTCGAGATAACATTGAAATAAAAATAATCTACAATATAAGGCATCGTTAAGGTCCTTCTAATCAATCTACACTTCCCTGCTAGTCCCACATGACATGAATGCACCAATAGTGTGTCAAAGCTAGTCTTCAATATGTATGTTTCTTGTATCTGTGGGTGTGTGTGTGTGTGTGCGCCTCCACCGCTAACATGCCTCTCTCGCCCACCCACCTGCCACTCCGCCAGCACTTCCCATACGCTAGCGCTAGGGCGGAGCGGCAGCACGCGGGACGTGCCAGCCAAGTCTTCGTCCACCTCCAGCTTGGACCCTAACACCTGTAATACTAAACCCTGGCAGCCACCCTCCTCCCACTACCAGTCTTACAGCATTTACCGCAGGTACTCCAGCCGCACCGGGACACCACCGTCTCTCCACACTCACCTGTCCTCTCTGTCTGTGTGTCTCTGCTCTGCTGAAGTGCCCATCCTTTTGTTTTTGTGCATCTGGATTGATCAAATGAATCCTGTGGTAATACATATTCAGACGTAGCCTCAGGATGAAAATGTGGTCTTAAGTCTGCAAAACCTGAATACAGATGTAAGGACAGTTTGATCTTTACAGCAATGACATTCCCCCTTGAAATCAATTGACAGTAACGTTAGAATAACCCTTTTCTCCTGCAATAACCTTAGGCTTTGATTTGAAATGCAGTTTTATCTTGATATTTTTACCGCCAATTAGTGTAGAAGTTTTTTGCAAGACAATCCAAAACAAATAAAAAAGGCCAAAAGACTGATTAATTATTTTAGCTCTCGCCATCAGTGCTAGCAGCATCCAAAGTTATGTCCGTGATCAACATGGTATCCGTTCACAAAGAGCTACTCGAACCGAGCTTTGTCTCACTACTAAAATGTTTTTTAAATCCTCCAGTGGCTCTTTTAGCAGAAGACACGAGGACTTGAGCTCCTCGACTACATCCTCCTCCACGACCACCACCACCTCCTCATCTGTTACCTCGCCCACGGGCCATCGCGGCTTATTCCCCAGCCTGGGCTCCTACTCCACACGCACTGGCTCCACCAGTCTCACCAGCAGGTACACGAACAATGAACAATAAAAAAACTGCAACTGGTACTATCAATTAAGATACAGCTGCAAAATCAGAACCAGTAGAGCCCCGACCAATATGGATTGTCAGGGTTCATATTGGCAAACGGAAATGCTGAACTAGATAGTAAAAGGTTTAGCACCTTTTAAGTTTAACAAGCCTGCTACAATTCTTTGACAGCATAATTCACTATTAATACTCCTGTAAATTGTTGCTCTTGCAAAGTATTTCTCAAGGTGATTAAAAGGTATTTCTATAGAATTACACTTACATTGTTACAAGCATTCGCACAATTTTACTTGAAAACACTAGAGTCACAAATTAAATTTCATAACAGTGGTTGAAATCTGTCAGATGAAGTACGTTTCTGTAAAAGATGCTGGTGTGTGAACAGGTACTGGTCAGAGGAGAGTGCAGAGAGGGAGAAGGAGAAGGAGTCGGCTGCAGTCATCCCCACTATTAACACTGGCTCTACTACGACTGCCACGTCTACCACTACAGCCATATCTACCACTACCACCACCGCTGGCACTGTCACTGGCCCAGAAAGACGCAGGTAACGCACATTTTCCCCGGTATGCTAATGTTCTTTATATATAGATATTTCCATTTATGTTGATTTGTCATATCTCTTCCATCTTTTTTTGCCGAAAAACAATTTAATTTAATTGTTTCTCTCACAATATTTGAAATGATTATGGACTCACACTTTATTATTAAGATAAAGCAAAGCGAGAATCTCTGCTGGATCATCATTAAATTTATGTTTTTGATAATAAACCTGTTAAATTAGTATATGAAATTGACAATAACCTAATATGATGGATTTAATGCATAGAAGTTTTAGTTTTTTGTGTCGTTCCATATGTGTATTGCCGATGCCATTTTTAAGTGGTTTTTTTTTTTTTTTTACTTACTATAGTTATTTACTATTATTTACTCAAGCTCAGATAATAAATATGCATCACCCTAAAAAGCCACCATCACTCAAACAGTAATCAGGATGAGTTCCCTCAGTTTTTTTCCCTCCCCACACTGTGTTCAAAGCAGCTCTCTCTCTCTCTCTCTCTCTCTCTCTCTCTCACACACATACACTCAAACACAGTGTTTGCCCGTGTCTGTCTGTGGGAGAGTGGGTCACAGAAAGCATGCGTTTGTGTGTGCGTGAGTTGGAGTGGGGTCGAGTTTGTGTCTTCCTGTTGCACTGCTGAAAGAAGCCACCTGTCATGGTGGGAGTGGAGCTGTTTGACAGCCCGCTCTGCTCCGGCGACTTCTCCTTATAAGAAAGCTGCACATTTTTCTTCAAGGCCAAGGCTCCGCAATGAATTATGAAGTTCATTGTTCTGTATGGCCAACAGAGACGACATGATTCAGACTGAGCAAAAGAGTTGGAATTTTTATTTTTTCAAAACACATCACAGAAAAGCCTCCTGCCTGACACAAGTAACCTGGAGCTGAACAGTGTATCTGAAGCTGCTGAATACAACAGTCTAAAATCCTCATTCTGCTGCATTAACGAGGGAGGAGATTGTGTTTTTCTAGAGCAGTCATCCCTCTCATCACAAGCCACCTTAAGCTGCCACATGACCATACATTCATGATAATTACCAAACATAAGCCACATTTCCCCCAGAATTAGGAACAAGGACCAAAGTCTAAATCGAGTTCCTTGAATAAAGTTCCAGGGACTAAAACTTGTGGGTACTTTTGGTTAAAACGTGGCTGTATTTATTAAAAGAGATGTTTCCCTATCCCAACAGTCATTGCTAGAGCTTAATATTTTGCACTTGTGTTTAAATAATTAACCGTGTGTGTTTTTTGTGTGTCAGGTCCTACCTGACGCCAGTGCGAGACGAGGAGTCAGAGTCTCAGAGGAAAGCTCGCTCCAGACAGGCCCGACAGTCGAGAAGGTCCACTCAGGTTAGTTTCCCTTTTTCATCTTTAATATGTTGATGCTTTATTTACCTCATGCACCAAAAAGTCACTCTGTTACCTGGCTCTGGCTTAAATTATGATTTTATAGACCTGGACTGTTTAAGTAAAAGTTGTTGAGCTGGTTGAGACTGTTCTCTCTATGTACTTTGGCACCTCTTAACTTCTGCGCTTATAAAAGCAGCTGATCGTTTCACAAGCTGACAGGATTTCAGCTCAGCTAATACAACAGAAAAATTCGACATCACAAAGTCTCAGTGTTGACTCTTAACTGCAGAGACTGTGGATATAACATTTTTAAAAATCATCCAAGCAACACATTCCAAACCTAAACCTTGTACTTTTTTCTCTTCCAGGGTGTGACTCTGACCGACCTGCAAGAGGCTGAGAAAACAATCGGCCGGAGTCGTACCCCAAAGACCCGTGAGGAGGAGAGGGAGGAGAGAGAGAAGCAGGACAAGGAGAAGCAAGAAGAGAAGAAGGAGACTGAGACCAAGGAGGATGATTACAGGTCAAAGTACCGCAGCTATGAAGAGGTACATTTCTCCTTTTGTCATCACAGTAATTCACACCTTGAATATTTGACTCTTACCTTCTTTCCCTCTGTCCTCTCTCCCTTCCAGCGTTACCGGCCTTCATCCTCCTCCTCGGCCATATCCACAGTCAGCACTGCCTCCACCCCATCCTACTCTAGTAGCTCCAGTGCCCTTAACAGGCCCAACAGTCTGACAGGGATCACCTCCTCCTATAGCTGCTCCTCCAGAGATACAGAAAAAGGTCAGTGAAAGAAGGAGTAATTTATAACTGCTCAGTTGTTCTGTCTGCAGTAGGTCATAGATAAGTGAACCTCGATAAACCTCGTCTAAGAAGTTACAAAGACCAGTGGCTCTTTCAACATTAATCTCTCCAATCTACTTCTTCCCCTGTCTGGAAAATGTCCTATAAATCGAGCCAGGACGTTTTCTGGAGTTTGCCATAGTTTGAACCACAGGGCTTTCAAGAAAAGTTCCTGAAAATGTCCTGAGCAACTTAGTCATTTGCCTTTTTCACATACACCCCCCTCTAGATATTTTCAGGAAAATGTCTGGAGTTCAGTGCAGGTGAAGTAAAAATCCATCTTTAGCTCCCTTTACCATCACTACCCTGAAACCGATGCATCTAATATGAAGTTATACAGGATTAGCATGTGGCTGTGTCGCGGCTCTTCCACCTGGTATCCGTCGCCACAGGTCCACATTCACGCTGGCAAGACGCCCGATGCTTATTATGAGCTCTCAGACAGAAAGGGATTGTGTTGCCTTTTAAATTAAGTAGCTCATCTCCTAATGAATAAATCCATGAAACATCCCTGGGAAAATAGACGGCAGCTTTAGTCTGTTCGACTGAAGGAAACACTGAGCGCTTTGTTCTCCCCTGACCAAAGCCTTTTTTTTTTTCCTCTTTTCTTTCTCTGAACTTCAGCCAAGTCCAGTTGTTGTCCTGGCGGTGCTTTGTGCAGCCTCAGTTAACCTGGACCTTCCCATCTTCCAGTTCAAATTTATTATTGGAATTAGTTCATGGACGTCTTCGCTGTTGATGTCAAAATAATAAGGGGCAAGAATGTTCAGGGCGCAGATAATTTAGAGATGTACAAAAGGAACATTTCCACCGCTTTCACTCACATGCACATCAGACTGCTGAAAGGTTAATTTTGCTGCTTTAACTTTATTATCATGCACTAGTGCAGTGTCAGTTCTAAACCTGTCAAAACCTGGCTGGTTTTGCAGTTTTCTTTCTGAAAAAGTAAAAGTGACCTGCAGTAATTGAGCCAAGGGAAATAATGACCTCAGTATCCGATCGGAGCTACTGTAGAATCATTGGACCTGGGAGTGAATGCAGTTAGATATTCTCACATTGCAGATGAAAACCAGATGTTAATGTGTTGTTTGACCTGTTAATAGGCAGCTTTACGTTGATAAGTCCGAGCCGTCACTGCTACAGAGAACTGCCTGTTTATCCAAAGCTGATTAAAGTTTGACTCTTGTCCCAATCTCACCAAATGTTTTGGCCCTTATCAATACACATGCCAAGTGTGAAGCAGATAACATTATTGGTTCTTGGAATTTATATGTTGTCTTTCCTGTCGATGCACAGAAGCAGACAAAAGGGAAGAGGAGAAGGAGGGAGAGGACAAGTCTCAGCCCCGCTCCATACGGGATCGCAGGCGGCCCCGCGAAAAGAGACGCTCCACTGGGGTCTCCTTCTGGACCCAGGATGTAAGAGACTCACACACAGTGATAGAAGTTTTGTTTGGTATTCATTGCGTTACTCTTCATGAGGTACAGCAGCTCATAACATTTGCTTAACCCCGACTCTTCCTCTTTGATCATTTGGATTTCAAGAGCTGAAAACTGTCTTTAACCCACGTGTCTGTTTTTTTTTTTTTTTAATTTCAGGGTGATGATAATGACCCTGACCAGCAGTCCGACTCAGAGGAGGGCAGCACCAAGGGAGAGCCACAGGTAACTCAACACACACTCAAAGACGGGGCAGAAAGTACATGAATCAGACTGAAGTAGGAGCCTGACCGGAAAATCTAACTTTTCTTGTCCGTTTGATCCTTCGTTTATTTTCTATTCCGCTCCTTCCTCGTGTCTTCTCTCATGTGGTCGAGGCCGAGCAGGTCCACCAGTCTTTGATATTTCCCTCTCTGACCTGTGCAGCTATGATTTTCTCCCCCTCCCTCTTACATCTCTCTCTCTCTCACAAAGTGCGGCCTTTAAATTTTTATAGTTTCCTTCTTCCGGCGATTGTCTGGTTTACCGGGGTGAACTTGCAGACCAGGAGTAGTCCCTAGCAAGAGATCATTAGGTTTTCAAAAACATGCAGACACACAGGGAGGAGGAAGTCTGGGACAAGTCTGGGCTCACTGAGATGGGGGAGCGTTTTTAATATGAAACGTGGAGATTAGATTTGTGTATTGACATGAACATAATATTGAGATAATAACCAGTTAAATGAAGTCTTGTTGTCCTTGGATGGACGAGCATGGGACAGAATGCGCAGTACTGTGTGGACATATTGCTGTACCCGACTGAAGGGGTGTGTCAGGCAGACATTAGACCACCAGACGTCTCTTACAGTCAGACAGTTTAGAGGGTGGCACTGCAACAGAGTACTGAATAGGAAACAAGCGATTACTGTATCTTGCTTAAAGATGTAAAAGCTTTCCAGAAAAGCTTTGAGCGGCTTCCTGTCTCGTCCAGCAAGTAAAAAAATAAAAAATACTCCGAGCAGACTGGGCTTTATCCAGAGCACAGAAAATGTCTCCTTTACATTCTTAATGTCGCCTGAAATGTTGGTTTGTTGAATATTGTTGGACACAAGAGAGATTAAAGACATGGATTAAAACAGATTAGAAGATTTTCATTGTGTTTAATACATCTCCAGTCCGTCTGTGGAAATGACCAAGATGGATGTTGATCTGATCTTTGTCCTGCGAGGCTCTCTGGACTGCTCCACTCAGATTGTAGCGTTGTGTTTCCTCTGCAACCGCCGTCCGCCTCAGGAAGCCGATTGCAATTTCAAAATAGCTGGAAGCCCGGGCCCCTCCGACCTGACCTCCCTATCTGATGTCTGGCCCAGGTTCTCAGGGCCGACGTGGCGACCGCTGCACAGGCACAGCGGGCGCAGAGACGCCTCAAGGCACGGCAGCTGTTGGAGGATCAGCGTTTGTGTGTCTGCATGTAGAGCAGCTTGTTGCAGGTGTGGGAGTGAAGGTCAGGTGCTGAGAGTTTGAAGTGGGCAGTCTTTGTTTGTGTGAGTTCTACATTAATGTGATTCACAGTTTGACTTTGTCCTCCAGTCCACGCTCCACACTGAATAGATGTTTTTTATTCCAGATTTAGCAGCTTTGTTTTATTTATTTTTTATTTCCCATGGACATTAACTCTCACTTTGGTTTGTTGTTTCCCTACAGAGTGACAGATTGTCCAGGTATGTTTCACCCCCTTCATATTATGTTCCCTAATCATCAGTTCTGTGTTTCTGTGTTGGTCATAAACAAGTGTTGTTACTTGTTTCAGGAATGAGAGCACTTCATCCTTAGATCGCAACGACACTCTTTTTAGCCGCAGCTACGGCGAGAGTCGAAGGCCGTACTCGAGCCGACTGGACAGAGACGACACCACTGACTATAAAAAGGTTGGAAATTGTTGAAATCCTTTTTTCCCGGCTCTAATTATGATTTCATGTGATTGTTACACTCGTTGACGGTCTGTTCGTGTCTCCGTCTGCAGCTCTACGAGCAGATCTTAGCTGAGAACGAGAAGTTGAAGGCCCAGTTACGTGACACAGACCTGGAGCTGGCAGACTTGAAGCTACAACTAGAGAAGGCCACACAGGTGAGATGAAGTCACGCTGCCTCGGCTGATCGGTCAGAACGATGACTGTGTGCAACTTGGTGCAGATCCAAACAAAAAGGTTTCTTATTCATGTATGTGTGTGTGTGTTTTCTCATTGCAGAGGCAGGAACGCTATGCTGACCGATCACAGCTTGAGATGGAGAAAAGGGTAATGACAGAACTACTTTAAACTCCCAAATGTCCTTCTTTGTTTATTAACACTATGAAATTTACAGAAAATAAAATGAATATAACTTCTGTCTTTCTCAAGTTTGTCTCAAACTTAAAGTAGAAGTGAGAATTTGCTTGGATTAATAAAAAAAAAATAAAAATAAGTAACACTGCGCCAATGGGTTTATGTCTGAAGGTAACAAGCAGGCCCCAATTTCATCTGGGTGGTGGTATGATCTTACCCTGAGTTTTTAAGTATCAGTCTTCTCTTTGCTGCTGGCTGTTGTCTCACACGTGCCCTGGTAGCCGGGGTCAAAGGGACCTCCCTCCGTCCTCGCCGCCCAGAACACGCCACCTTCTCTCTCTCTCTCACCTGTTTCTTTGAACCTCAGAGGCAGCGTGTGGTCACCACTTCTCAAGACTGCTTAGTTTGTGTGTTTGTGTGGAATTTGTGCAGGAAGTAGAACATTTTTCACGTTGGTAAATTTGTATTGAAAGAACCTGTGCATGTTGTGTCCATGCTTTTTGTTTTTTTTGTTTGTGTCACTCATCGGTCATCATGCTGGCGTCTTCAGCTGCAGTTGTGTAACTTTTACATCACAACCCTCTGGATTTAAGAACTTCATCCACTGTTTTAAAGCTAACGCTGCAAACAAACGCCACATTTGACATCATCACTCATGTGTCATCTGCCTTTTGTAAAACAGGAATGTTCTTTTTTTTATTTAAAACCAAAAAAAAAAAGACATTCTGACGTCCCCGTCGATGAGTCATTTCATCAACTTATCATCAACACAACCTCTAAACATCCATCCCCATGGTTTTTTTTTTTTTTTTGACTCATTTATAAATCATACGTGTACACGATGTGCACGTCACTGAATCTGTTAGTCTGAACTGGCTGTTGCTCGCAGACGCCTCACAAGTGTGTGCTATCGCTATCTCCTCACCCCCCCCCCACACACACCTCTTTATTTAACGCAGTGTGTAGAGCCTGCACTCATGATTTTGTGTGTGTGTGTGTGTGTGTGTTTTACTTTTGGTTGTGATGTTGTGAGTTTGAGTGTTGACCTGCTGTTCTTCGCCCCACAGGAAAGAAGAGCTCTAGAAAGGAAGATTTCTGAGATGGAGGAGGAACTTAAGGTACCGCCACACACACACACACACACACACACACACACAGACACACACACACACACACACACACACACACACAGTTTGGTTTCTGCAGCGAAAAGATGTCCGGAAACAGTTTTGACTCCTTACTTAAATTCATCGCAGCAAAACAAGTAACCATCAATTACAAACTCCTAAATCAACTATAAAAGACGCAACATGACCAGGACAACTGAGCGGTCTTCATAAAGAACGTGTATCTAACTCTGAGTATGTAAATGTCTTGTCCTTGGATGCACTATAACCTCCTGTCAAGTATAATTTTCTTCAGAGACACAGAAAAAACACACTCCGTGCGTTCTTGCTGCTAAATGTGCATCTCTTAATCTGTGCGGGGCTCGTCTCAGGTCAGATGCTGTAATCTGTGTGGGCACATCATTTAAGCTCTTCATCGGAGACGCCCAATTAAATGTTCCTTTTCTGGAAAACTGATTTAAGGAGTGTTCCTCCATGGCTCTGATAACCAAGTGTGTTTATTTTTAGGTGGTAGGCAGCTGGCTGATCTTATCACTGTCATTTTCTATCTGCAGACATGGTGCAGAGCCGAGAAGCTCTTCATCATTCCTTCGGTTTCCAAAATCTGTCCCCATTTTCTAACAATCTTCCTCTTCTGTTCCCCCTTTCTCCTCCTCTTCTCTATTAATTTACTTTGTCCCGTCTTTCGTTAATCCCTTGTCTTTAATTTGTCTCCTGTACACCACCTCTCCCCCCCCCGTCACTCTCACTCTCTCCTTCCATCCTTCTCTTTGTTCTCCTGTGTTGTGGTTGTTACTCCCTCCCTCCCTCCTGCAGAACCTCCCCCAGGTAAAGCAGGTTCAGGCCCTGCGGCAGATTAAGGAGCGGCTGCAGGCTGAGAACCGGGCCCTGGCCCGCGTGGTGGCAAAGCTCTCGCAGTCCGCCTGCAGCCAGCTGCCCAGCGTCGACCTCTAAGCCACGTCCACCACCTTCTCCTCCTCCCTTCTCCTTCCTCCTCACCTTTTCTCCTTCCCAACCCCATTCTTCTCATGCTCCATTTGCGCTCTGCCCCGCACCCATAGACAGGCAGGTGCCCAGCCGCCCAACCACCACTGGTTTTGTAAACTCCCCTTTCCACTCCCTCTGCCTCCCCAGAGCTTTTTGGTTTTCAGATTGGGGAGCGTGTCTTTTGTTTTTTGTTTTTTTTGGGTTGCGTCCGGACACTCTCCTTTTACAGCACATGACTGTCAGGTGTTTTTAAAAACATCAAAAACGGATAAATCACGAGCGGAGAAGAAGCTCAGGTGAGTATCGTTTGGCCGACAAGCGTCTAAATTTACTCCAAATGTAGAGAATTCGAACACGTCTTCATGTGCAGTGAAGGAAAGTGTCCTCTCTGTAGTTTTCTAGATGTGACGCTTCCTTCAGAGGGAGCTCCGTCCTTCAGTTTGGCTTGTTCTGGCTTCTTTGCATGAAGTTGCATCGTTTTTTTGGCCCAAATCTTCAGAGACTGAAGCTTTTTCTTTTACCGCATCTGTACTCCTCAAATTTCTAATGATTTCTATCAGTTATATTTTAGACGGTTGCATGGAGCATAAAGTTTTGATACTGAGGAACACGATGGGATATTTAAAAGAGAAAAAAAAAAAAGCAGACGATGGATATTTATCAAGAGACAATGAACGTTTATTAACAGACTGAAATTTGCTGCTGCTCGGCTCAGTGGGAAACTTTAAAATAATCAGCTTCTGTATAGATACATTTTAATTGTGCTGTGTATTTTTTCCGGCCGCCACTGAGCAGCCTCCGAGGTTCTGCATGGCTTTCTCAGGAACTTTGGCCTGCGGTGTGACGCCCCTTTTACTTTTCTCTCTGGAACGATTGAGAAAAAAAAAGACATAAGGAACAAAAAAAAAAAAACATGCGAGATGCTGTGTGACTCCAAACATTTGCTTCTACACAAGCTGCAATTAACAGTTTGTCAAACCGGCTCGACCGGTTTAACGACACGTGTGTCTGTCGAGACTCGTCTAAGCCTCGTTCTCTCTCTCTCTCTCTCTCTGTCTCTCTCTCTCTGTCTCTTCCTCTCCCTGTTTCCTTTTCTTTCTTCCTTTCAGATGCTTCCGGACTTGAAAGCAGACAACCAGCGACTAAAGGACGAGAACGGAGCGCTCATTCGAGTCATTAGCAAGCTTTCCAAGTAGAACAGATCCTACACCCCCCCGCCCCGTCTTCTGCACCCCCTATAGTCCCCCATGGCAGTGACTAATGGAATTGCACATTTAGATATTAATTGCAACAGACATCAGAGACGAGACTCCTATTTTTTTTTTCTTTTTTCTTTTTCTCCTCCCAACTGTTTATCTCCCTTTTGCTCCTTCACCACCACCACCACCATCGCAGCATCCATCCATCCATCCATCTATCCATCCATCCACCTCCTCGGCTGTTCATCCACCTGAGCGTGCGGCTGCTGTCCTGATAGAACCACCGGGTTTACAGAGCAAAAGGAAGACGGGTTGCGTGAGCAGCATGTAAACGCATCGTGTGGGCGGGGAAGCCTGAAAACTATTTAACCAATAAAGCCTTAGATGTACATAAAGAGAAAAAGAAAAAACACTCGATCTCTTCTCTCCTCTCTCGGCTATCACTGAAGAACAGATATTATCCAACACCTGATTTTATTTGTGCCACAATCTTTATTTCATGTAATGTTTTTTGTTTCCTCTTCCTGTGTAAGTGTTGTGTGCTGTGCAGTTTCCTTCTTCAACCCCTCAAAGTGCCACTTCTGCTCCACATCATCCTCGTGGCTCCTCTTCCTCCTGTTTTTTCTTCTTCCTCCTCCTCCTCCTCCTCCCTTCACACACAGATCACCGACACACACACACCTTCCCCTGATTTTTTTTTCTTTGTACCTCTGTGTGTCTTCCTCCAAGAGGGAAAAAAATTTGAATTCTCGCTTTAGCGAACGAGGCGGACCTGGTGGAATTTAAGCTTTCACTGTATGTGCAATATGCATTTCTTTTTTTTATTTTTATTTTTAATGCTTTAATGATGAGTCCATCACAAGTAGGATTTTTCACTCTTCCACCGCTTCCATCGCTCACCCTCCTCCCCCCCGTTTTTTT